AACTTGTGTCTGCCTTGAGACCCTTCATCTACAATTCCCCCATCACTGTTGTGTCCACATCCACATCTCCGCCCTGGAGAGCAGGACCTGCAGGTGTCCGTGTGTCTGAGAAACTGTGGCGTCGTCTCAGACTAGGGGACTGAGAACCTCGGGCACCTCCATGGGAGCCAATACCCTTCTCTGAACCTGTTTCCAAATGTACAAAAATGGGGCGAATAACAAAAGAGCCTCAGTTCCTTATCTACAATCCCCCAATCCCAAAAGCCACAAGAACCTAAACTTTACTCCCAAACTGGCAGCAAAATGTGACCTGGGTCGCCACCTGGTTCGTTCTCATCTTTACCCCATTCAACGTTTGACAATTCATGTGAGAGGGGGCTTCAAAAAGCGAAAACACGGAAATAAAAGAAAGTGGACTTTTTCTGGGAACCTTTTGAAGCCCCTTCGCGTTTGCGCAGCAGAAATCTTGGTTCGCTCAACACCGACCCATGGCCTGCTGGGAGAAGATGGTGGACGGGGTATGATACTTAATGATGAGATAGGGATCCTTTCACTCGTAACATCAGAACATTTCTGATTTTCAGGATAGTTGTGGCACCCAAGGAATCAACCAAAAGGCAGAAAACCTGCAATTTAGTTAAATGAGCAAGTGCCTGGCATACCAATAAGTATTACTATTCGCTGTTATCCCGTGGACAACCCGTGAAGAACTCCTATTCATCCTGTCAAGACCCCGTCAGGCTCTGCCCAAGGACTACAGGGAATTCATCCGCCTCCTTCAGCCTCAATTTCCCTCAACCAAAGCTCAAATCAAATCAAATCGCGCCTCTCAGGGTCACCGCTGCGGATTAGAAGACACTTTAGAAAAAAGCCCGGCTCGTAACAGGCTTTAGATAAGGATTCAAAGCTCCAAGACACTCATCCGGACGACGTCGCGCGTCTTTCGCCAAAGTCGCCCCACTACCATTCCTTCACCCCTGACGAAAAATCAAGTCCCCAACCCTCCAAATTTCTTAGCGACCCCAGTCCAAGCGTCTACGCACTTTAAGATTGCTGTCTGTCCGCTCAACTCTGAAAGACCCGGACAGTCAACTCGGAGAGAACCGGAGAATCGACTCCTCTCACTCGCGCCTCCTCACAGCCACTTCCGGTGCCTCGTGAATTTCTCCTCAGAGCTATTCCACCCAGAATCCTCCGCGCCAGCACGTGGACTCCATTTCCCAGAAGGCAGTGCGGAGAATTTAATTTGGTTTTCACTTTCACCACCTTTAGCGCTCCGGCTATAAATTCTGGTGTAGCGTTATAGGCTAAGCACTGGACTCCTAACAGCGAAGTTGGCAGTTCAACCCACCAGCTGTTTCGTGGAAACCATATACAGGGTTGCTATGAATCGCAGCCACTCTAAGGTCGTTAACAACAGAGGCCCCGTTGAGAACTCTGGAGGGGAGGGGAGGGAAGGTAGACAAAGAATAAAAACATGGTGGCGTTGCAGTCCAATATTTACTCCTGCCTTTCTTTGTAGACTAAAGTTTTGCCATTCCGGAAATTTACAACCAGTAGGTTACAATGGAAACGCATTGTGGAAGAAGTCGTTTTCCTGGGAAAATTGGACGTGGGGCGGGGGGGAGGTACGAAATTCATAAAGGAAAAGTGATAATCTCGCCAAAATTAGCGGAGAGATGCGGCTTTACCGTATCAGGCTCAAATTTAGTATGTAGCACATGCGCAGTAGAATCATGCCGTTTACGAATAGGGAGAATGGGAGTAAACGAGGGAATAATCCCGCCCCCTGCTTTGAGTTGACCTTTCGCAAAGGCATATGGGAAGTGGGATTCTCAGGTAGACAGTCCCGGAGGTAGTCGAGAAATCAGTGGTGCATGGAGGGCGTGGTTCGGCCTCAGGCCGACTGTGGGCTTGCAGCGCCGCCTTTCCCAGCGAGTTTATGCGGGGCAACTGAGTCTGATTCTCAGGCACTTTGGAGGATCCAGGGCCTGGCCGCATATCCCTAGGTCCCCAACCATGTTCCTAGCGCAACACGACCTTTTGTGGAGACAGAGAGCCCATAGGTGAGAGTTGGGACCAGAGAGGCTCCCAGTTGCTAAAATAACCTGTCCTCCCTAGCTAGACTTCCCACAACTCTCAATTTGTAGGATGACATCAAGAACCTCATACAGGAAGAAAGCAAAAGGTCATTAAGAAAACAAGCAAGAAGAAAAAGACCAAAACCGATGTCAGAAGATACTCTGTAACTTCTTTCCAGCATTGAGATGCAAAAGCAAATGGAAGAAGTGAAGAGGTACAAGAGCCGAACAAAAAATTTCAAAGGTTAGGTCGAGAAGACAAAGTCAAATATAACGAAATGTGCGAAGACTTGGAGTTAGAAAACTGAAAGGGAAGAACACACTCAGCATTTCTCAAGCTGAGGAAACTGAAGAAAAATTCAAACCTTGACTTGGGGTATTGAAATAATCTCTCAATTTATTAATTTCTGGGGAAATTATTGAATGATGAAGAATCAAAAGAAGATGGAAGGAATACACAGAGTCACTGTACGAAAAAGAAATGGTCGATGTTCAATCATTTCAAGAGCCAATGATCCTGAAGGAAGAAGTCCAATGTTCATTGAAGAACTTGGCAAAGAATGAGGCACAGGGAATTGATGGAATACGAATTGAAATCTTTCAACAAACTGATGCAGCACTGGAGGCACTCACTCATCTATACCAACTGACTGGAAGAGATCCATATTTGTGCCCATTCCAAAGAGAGGTGACCTAACAGACTGTGGAAATCATTGGACAATATCATTGATATCCCATGCTAGTAAAGTTTGACTAAAGATAATACAAAAACGGCTGCAAGCATACGTTGACAGAGAACTTCCAGAGCTTCAAGCCAAATTCAGAAGAGGACATGGAACGAGAGATATCATTGCTGATGTCCGATGGATCTTGGCTAAAAGCAGAGAATACCAGAAAGATGTTTACCTGTGCTTTATTGACTATGCAAAGGCTTTCAATTGTGTGGATCATGACAAGCTATGGATAACATTGCGAAGTATGAGTATTACGGAACACTTAATTGTGCTCATGAGAAACCTGTGCATAGACCAAGAGGCAGTTGTTTGAACGGAACAAGGGAACACCGAATGGTTTAAAATTTGGAAAGGTGTGCGCCAGGGTTGTACTCTTTCATCATATTTGTTCAATCTGTATATTGAGCAGATAACCCAAGAATATGGATTATATGAAGAAGAACATGGCATCAGGATTGGAGGAAGACTCATTAACAACCAGATATGCAGATGATACAACCTTGCTTGCTGAAAGTGAAGAGGGCTTAAAATACTTACTGATGAAGCTCAAAGACCACAGCATTCAGTATGGGTTGCAGTTTAATGTAATGAAAACAAAAATCCTCAACACTGGACCAATAAACAATATCCATATAAATGGAGAAAAGATTGAAGTTGTTAAAAACTACATTTTGCTCAAATCAACCATCAATACTTATGAAAGCAGCAACCAAGAAGTCAAATGACGTACTGCAGTAGGCAAATCTGCTGCACAAAACCTCTTTAAAGCATTGAAGAGCAAAGATATAAGTTTGAGAACTTAAGGTGCATCTGATCCAAGCCATGGTATTCTCAATACTCTCATATGCATGCAAAAGTTGGACAATGAATAAGGATGACTGTAGAAGAATTGATGCATTTCAGTTATGGTGTTGGAGGAGAATATTGAAAGTGCCATGGGCTGCCAAAAGAACCAACAGATCTGTGTTGGAAGAAGTGCAGCCAGAGTGCTCTTTGGAGGCCAGGATGGCCAAAGAGGAAGACCCTCCGCGAGATGGACTGGCAAAGTGGCGGCATCAGTAGGCTCAAGTATGGCAACAATTGTGAGGTTGGCCCAGGACAGGGCAGTGTTTCGTTCTCTTGTGCATAGGGTCGCTGTGAATCAGTGCTGACTTGATGGCACCTAACAACATCATGGTTACCAGGGGTGGGAGCATTATTCACTGGCTAGAGGGCAGACACCTGTTAACTTGGGTGATGCAGAAGGCAATATACAATAAGAGGAAGATTAGCAGAAGAAAGAGGAGGTCACAGGAACCAGTGCAAGAATTAAAGGGAATAGGGGTAAATACTATAAACTGATGGTAAGTGGAAGGGATCGTAATCATTGAAATTAAACAAAGGGTATGGCTCTTAAAATGTAAAATTCTTTGCTTTGTAAATCATTACTCAAATTCACAAAGCAGTTTTTAAAAAAAAATACCTTCACATATTTTTGTTTTGTGATATTTTTGTTTAATAAAGATTTTGTAGCGATACTTTTTGACTTGTCTCCTCAGTTCCTTGATGATCGGCACATGATGTGTCTCTCGCCGTTTGTGCTTGTTTGACTCTGTGTCTATGTTGTTGTGTTGTGTCTCAATTTACACATATGACCACTCAAGACTCTCAGGATCGATAAGGAAGCCTTTATTAGCTGCCCAGCGACTACAGCCTCCCTAAATGTGGGAAAAACTGCAGCCCCGACCCGGTTTTTCAAAGAGTATTTATACATAGGCAGTCTGACATGATCTTGTACAAACCAAGCGTATGCTGTATGCATGAGCTGTTACGGTGGGGGCTAGGAGTACATCAGCTGGGACAGTTACTTCTCAAGATTAACTTGGGGAGGCGGGTACATCTGCCACGACAGTTAGTTTTCAAGATTAACTTTGGCCGGCTCTTCTCAAGGTTAGCCTTGGCCGCTGGCCACAGTATCCTGTGATTCAGGCAGGCTCACTCAGATGTGAGGAGTTTGCATAAGCAGTGTTACAGAAGCCAAGTTTAGCCAGAGTTAAGGGGAGAAGGGGGTTTCTGAATCCACTTCAGCCTGATTCTTTCTTAGATGTCTTTAAATTCAGTTCATATGGAGGGTTATTAACTCCCAATATCCCTTCCCAAGGAAGTCCTGGGCCCTGCAGTCAAACCTGGAGCTCTGGGCAAATTCTCACTTGCAGACCTTGATCTCCGAGTACTCAGTGGTTCTGTCAGCCTCCAGGTCCTGAATCTCGGGAAATCTATGCCTCTGGAAGACGAGGGAGGCATAATGGAGCTCCTGATCCTCTCCAGAGGCGGGGGTGGCCACAGCTGGGGGCAGGTCGTGGCGGGGGCTGCCTTGCTGGGACTCCTGCCGGTGACCCTGAGTGGAGGGGAGAAAGATTAAAATAGGAGAATGGAGGCCAGGAGAAAGCAAGCAGCCTCCACAGGGGAGCATTTGGTCTTTGATCCACTCATTCTTTAAACATATATCAGGCCCTCATTCATTCAACAAATCAGTAAGAGTAATCATGCCTGGCTAAGGAGCCCTGGTAACATAGCAGTTAAGTATTCAGCTGCTGACCCAAATGTTAGTGGTGGGAACCCACCCAGAGGCTCGAAGGCAGTAAAACCTGGTAAGCTGTTCCAAAAAAGATTACAACATTGGGGGGGGGGCGGGGAGTGGGAAGATCATGAAATTTTTCCATAAATTTTTGAAGGCCCCCTCATAAAAATAAATAAGGATTACAACATAGAAAAGAAAAAAGATTACAGCATAGGTAACATATGAGTCATAAGTAACATGGGTCATAGATAACATGTGGGTCATAGGTAACATATGAGTCAATTTTACACTATCCTATGGGGCTTCTGTGAGTCAGAATTGGCTCAACTGCACATAACAACAGCTGTTTGAACCCACCAGCTGTTCCGAGGAAGAAAGATGAGGCAGTCTGCTTCTGTAAAAATTGTTGTTGTTGTGAAGTGCTGTCAAGTCGGTTCCGACCCATAGCAACCCTGTATAGGGTTTCCGAGGAGCAGATGGTAAGCTTGAACTGCTGACCTTGCAGTTCAAATGGCTTTGCAGTCTGGCGCATTAACCCATAGCGCCACACCAGGACTCCATAAAGATTACAACCTTGGAAACCCTATGGGGCCATTCTGCTCTGTGCTTTAGCATCTCTATAAATCAGAATCGACTCTATAGCAAGAGGTTTGGGTGTTTGGGGAATCTGCCTTCCAGGTGTTTTAGGTATTTCACAGGTTCAAAGCAGCTGGATGTAGTTGTGAAATTGTGTCACTAAAATAAAACAAACCCGTTGGTATCAGTATGATCTTGCCTTACAGTGAAGCATGTGAGAGTAGAACTTCTCCACAGGGTTTCCTAGGCTTTAGTATCTACAGAAGGCCTGAACTGTTAACCACAAGGTCGGCAGTTCAACCTCCCAAGCTGCTCCTTGGAAACCCTATACAGGGTTGCTATGAGTTGGAACCAACTCAACGACACTTCACAGCAATAACAGAGGCACCTTGGAAGTCAGGCCTGGCAACTGCTTTTGAAAGCTCTGAAGATTCTGTAGAGCAGTTCTAGTCTGCCCATGTGAGTCAACATGAGTTGGACTCAACTCCATGGTATCTAACAACCACAGATATTCCCCCCAGGAAGCCTCCACTTCTACAATGAATTCCCACCTGCTGCCTAGAGCCTTTGGAACCATGGTAGCTCTGTTGGATAAGCACTGGGCTGCAAACCACAAGGTTGGCGGTTCAAGCCCACCATTCATTCCTTGGGAGAGAGATGAGGCGTTGTGCTTCCACACAGATTTATAGGCTTAGAAACCCTGTGCAGGGTCACTATAAGTCACAATTGACTCAACAGCACTTAAACAATAGCAGTAGGTTTTTGGGGAGCAGGTCACCAAGTCTTCTCTTCTGCTGAGCCACTGGGTGGGTTCAAACTGCCAACCTTTCTGTTAATCCCAGCATGCTTAACCATTGCACCACCAGGGATCCCAGCACTGGCTGGGTACAGGGAGACATGTCTGTGGCTGGGGCCCAGGGGGGGCAGGTGGGAGACAGGGTAGGAGGCAAGGAAAGCAGATGGGAGACACCTCTAAAGTAAGAGATTGTCAGGCTTGATGCAAATGAAGGTGTCTGGACTTGGTTCTTTCAGAAGAGGGTGGACCCTGAGGTGTGAAAGGTCAGGGACAAGTGGGTGTGCAAAAAAGAACTGGTGTCAGAGTGAGGGTGGTCTTGAGGTTACCCCCAATTTGCAGTTGGTATCAGAACTGAAGTTGGTCTTGGGGTCTTGAACTTTGAAAATGGGCAGTCATTATTTTGGGGTGATCCCACTGGCATTTAGTCTGGGGAAGCAGAGAGAAAGTGGGTCAGGGGTCCTAACTGAAATGAGGAGGTGGGCACAGGAAGACCCAGTCTGAGCCCAACAGGCTTCCAGCTCAAGAGACAAGACAGAAGGCAGAGAGAGGGAGGTAGGTTGGCTTCTGACTCATGGGCTGGGTGACAGGGTTGGTGGGGAACCAGGAGAAAAGCTTATTGGGTCAAAATGACAACTTAAGCCATCGGAGGAGCCTGGTGAGGACCCATCTGGGAGGTTTGTCACTCACCCTCAAGACAGTGCCCAAGACTAAGGGGGCATCTGATCCTGCAACCGCCGGCACCTTGGTTGCCTTCTTGCTGTATGTCATCACCCTGAGCGGTGGCACCTTGGTTGCCTTCTTCCTGTATGTCTTCACCCTGAGGAAGGAGCCTTGGACTTTCAGGCTATAGCCTCCGGTTAGCTCAGACTTGGAGTGGGACTTGTGGTCCTGCTTAAGTGTCTGGAAGGGCTGAGCTGAGCCAGCCTGGTAGGGGGAGGGCGGCCTGGGAGCCCTGTCTAGCCCTAGGACTTTTATTAAAAGAACTCGAGCGCCCCCTCCTGGAAGGCTGGGCTCAGGGGTGGGAACTTATCATGCTCTGAATCTTCCTAGTTACCATGCAATCAATTCTGACTCCTGCTGACCCCATGTATGCAGAGTACATCTGTGCTCCATAAGGTTTTCAAGGCTGTGCCCTTACGAAATATCACCAGGCCTGTCTTCTGATGCACCTCTAGGTGAATTGGAATCACCCGCCTTGTAGTCAGTAGCTGAGTGCTTAGCCCTTTGTAATACCCAGGGACTCTTTGAATCGTTGCCAGGGACTTAATTTTGTAGGATTCCTTGGATGGCGCTGCGGGTTATGTGTTGGGCTGCTAACTTTAATGTCAGCGGTTCAAACCCACCAGCCACTCTGCGGGAGAACGATGAAGCTGTCTGCTCCTGTAAAGATTCACAGTCTCAGAAACCCTAAGGGGCAGTTCTATCTACTCTGTCCTACAGTATGGGGTCACTGTGAGTCTGAATTGATTGAGTGGCACTGGGTTGATTTTGGCTTGGGTGGTGCAAACAGTTAAGCGCTCGACTGCCACCCAAAAGTTGGCTGTTTAAAACTATCCAGAGGTAGATGCAGAGATTGAGGCATAGTTTGAATGGGTAAAGAGGGGAAATAATACTAAGATGCTTGGCTGTCTTTTTTTTTTTTTTATGTTTTATTGTGAATTATGTGATAGTTTACATGGGATACCATAGGTTTTACATTCATTCTGTCATATATCGTTTCATTGCCATAGTTACAATCCCATCCATGCATCATCAACCAACCAAAGGGTATATCCTGCAAGCCTGCCTCCCCCCACCCCCCTGCCCCGGGGTCCTCAGCACACAGCCCCTTTCCCTCTCTGGATCTCAAGTCCCCAGCCTCTCCATCTCTCCGCATCATTGTCTCTGCCTCCATCTCAGGCATCATGACTTCCCTGGGTAGGGTCCTGCTCTCCGCTCTTCTCCATTGTTGGTCCCAGGGTCCTCCACTCCTAGACTGAAAAGTTAATCACTCCCCTCCTTGCTGTAAAATGTCCACCTTTACATTTCCATCCCTCAAATCAGTCCTGATAACAATTATTCACTATTGTATCACAAGAGAACCATCTGCATTTCATTTCATCAGCCCTTACTAGACAGGTTGGATACTACTCACTGGAGACTCTACCTTCCTCCATGCCCTCTGGATCTAGCTTCCCTCTTGAAAGCTTGTGAGCCAGTCACTTCTTGCCTTTGTAGTCTCCCTCCCCCCCCCCCCATTTTGGGTAGCCAATGTCCAAGTTGCCCATCCCTGTCTACTCTTTGTGTGGAGGGGGTGGGAATGATTCTTGCAGTGAGGATTTGTTTCCTCTTTTGAGCTACTGCATCCATAGGTGTAGGTCATGTTCATCAAATTGTATCAGATGACTCCTCTTTTCCTCTTCTTTCTTCTTCTAGTTGAGCTCTGATCGTCCAGTCATTGAAGCCAGGTCAAGTGGGTATTATCTACAAGTGTGGGTGTTCTTGTGCATATGCCCTCTCTTCTTATCAGCTGGATGCTTCACTCTCCACTCTAGTCCTCTGTGGCTATGTCACTGACTCTGGGCCCAATAGTCCCCAGGTCTTGCCATACTGCTGGCCAACCAGGTTTCCACCCAGGTTCACAGGAGTCTATTGAACGTTGTAGGGCTTAGCTCGCCGCTTCATTGCTGTTTTTCCCTCACTTCCCGTTATGGGTGACTTGTGTGGTCACCAATCAGAGGGTGTATTCCCATTGCATCTTAGTCTTGGAAGAGGATTTGCACTGAGGGGACCTGAACACTTGCCTTGATGTCTCTTGGGCAAGCAACTTGCTTGTTCTTGTAGTAACAGTCAGTCTGCCCCTATTGTTTTGTATTTTTCCTGTAGGTCTTTCTTTCAAGAAGTATCTTCTGTTTTGATGTTTGACTGTCTTTTGAATCTTGGTTTCTCTTGCCTACTACTGTAAAATAGACACTTGAGGAGGAGAGAAAGGAATAGCCAGAAACATCACCATAGAAAGCTTGTAAGTCCATCTTCAGCCTATAACGGGTTGGAATATCTAAAATGAGGCTAGAACTTGCCCAGAGAAGGAGGCTTCCTGTGGAGCCTTTGCATTGCATAAGACAATAGGTGGAATCCATATCCCCATTGAGAATTTTCTGAGGTGGGAAATTTCGTCTTGAAAGGACAAGCAGACCAACTTGGAGCTGCTAGAAGAGCAGAAGATACTTCTTGAAAGAAAGACCGACAGGAAAAATACAAAACAATATAGGCAATCTGATCGACTACTTTGACAAGAACAAGCAAGTTGTTTGCCGGGGAGCCATCAGGGCAAGCAGTTGCGTCCCCTTAGGACAAACCCCCTTCTAAGATTGAGACTCAAGGGGAATACCTGAGCAGGCCTATGGTCTTGCCAGTGACCATGCTGGTCTACCAATAAGGGGAAGTGGGGGAAAAACAGCAATGAAGTTGTAAGCTAAATCCGACCACGTTCAACAGACTCCTGTCCACCTGGATTGAGACCTGGTTGGCCAGCAGTATGGTGAGACCTGGGGACTCCTGGACCCAGGGACATGGCCACAGAGGACTAGAGCAGAGAGTGAAGCGTCCAGCTGATATGAACTGAGGGGAGATGCACAAGAACACCCACACTTGCAGAGAACACCCATTTGACCTGGCTTCAATAGCTGGATGATCAGAACTCAACTAGAGGAAGAAAGAAGAAAAAAAGAGTAATCCACTATAATTTGATGAACTTGACCTATACTTATGGATGTAGTAGGTCAAAAGAGGGAACAAATCTTTACAGTGAGGATCATTCCCACCCCTTTGGTACACAGGGTAGACAGGGATGGGCAACTTAGACATTGGCTACCCAAAATGCGGAGACTACAAAGACACTGGCTTACAAGCTTTCAAGAGGGAGCCTAGTTTCACAGGGTACGGGGGAAGGTAGAATCTCCACTGAGTGGTTTCCAACCTGTCTAGATAAGGCTGGTAAAAGGAGATGGGGCTAAGACTCTTGTGGTTCAATAGTGAATAATTGCTATCAGGACTGATTGAGTGTTGCAAATGTAAAGGTAGATGTTTTGTAACAAAAGGAGGGGAGTGGTTGATCTTGCAGTCCAGGAGTGAAGGACCCTGGGACCATCAAGGGAGAAGAGTGGAATGTGGGACCCTATCCAGAGAAGCAGTGACACCAGAGATGGAGGCAGAGATGATGATGTGGAGAGATGGAGCAGCTGGGGACTCTGGACTCTGGGAGGGAGAGGGGCTGTGTGCTGACGGCGGGGGGCAGACTTGCAGGGTGTGCCCTTTGGTTGTTTAAGTGGTTGTATATTCCTGAGTGCTTTGGTGTACATCCAAAAAAAAAAAAAAAAAACCAGAGGGAATGGAAGCAAATGCTGTTGAATGATGATGGATGATGGATGGAGGGGACTGTAATCATTGCAATGAAATAAAATACGATAGGATGAATGTAAAGCTGATGCTCTCCCATGTACACTATTACTCAATTCACAATAAAAACTTTTTAAAAAACCTATGGTGGTGATGGTAAATATAGGTGTGTATAAATGTGTGTATGTATATTATAAAGCAAAGTAGTTAAAAAAAAAAAAAAAAAAACCAACTACCCAGAGGTGCCTGGTCATCAACTTCCAAACAATTGGTGGCGGTAGTGGTGATGTGCCATGGAGTTGGTTCTGACTCATAGTAACCTTGTACAGGGTGTCAGAGGCTGTAAATCTTTATGGGAGCTGAAAGCCTCATCTTTCTTCAACGAAACAGCTGGTAGTTTCGAACTGCTGTCCTTGAGGTTCATAGCCTGGTTCGTAGCCACTACGCTACCAGAACTCCTTAGTCATTGAAAACTCTCTTGGAGAACAGTTCTCTGACACACATGGATTCTGGGATGAGTTGGAATCAACTCGACAGCAATTAGTTTAACTTTGGTGTTTTGGGTCTCAAGTCCCTAGGTCCTTGGGAAGCACAAATGGTTGGCACCCGACTACCAACAGAAAGGTTAGTGGTCCAAATCCACCCAGCGATAACATGGACGAAAGTCCTGGCAATCTACGTTGGACCAGTCAGCCATTGACAAGCCTCTGGAGCACAGTTCTACTTTAACACAATACACCTGGGGTTGTCAGGAGTCAGACTTAGTAGCCAGCAACTCAATTTTCTAAATCAGGTTTTCTAAATCTCTGGTCCAAGTCCAAGTTCTCACCAAACCACTGACGGTCCAGATCTCCACCGGGATTCGCGGGGACTCCAGTCCCCTACCCCCAACCCAGGGGAGGGTACTCACACGAGGAGGAAAATGAGGCAGGAACCCAGTAAGAATACGGTCGTTACACCAGCTCCCATGACGACCTGGAGAGATTCTCTCCCGGGTGCCCCTGCAGATGAGAGGGGGAGCGGGGGAGGGAGGATTTAGGGGACACCCTCCGAGCCCACTCCTTCCCACAGAACGTGAGCTCTTCTCTTCGTGAATCCCTAGGCACCGACCCAACACACCCCTGCCCTCCAGCCCCCGCCCTCAGCTCAAAGCCCTTCAAGATGACCCTCCACCCCACCCAGGCCTCGGCGCAGCAGACCCCCGACCTGGCAGCATCAGGACAGAGAGGCTGTGGGCCCCGTGGTCATTCCGGGCCTCGCAGTGGAACGTCAGGTCTGGGCTGAGCTCCCCGCGGAAGATCAGGGAGCTGTTGGCCCAGGTCTCCGAAGAGGTGACCGTGACGGTGACGTGGTTGTTGTTCCCCTCCACCAGCGTGTCCCCAACCCGCCAGCTCAAAGACGGGTCCGGCCGGCCTCGGGCGGAGCAGCTGCAGAGCAGACCCTCGGCCTGCGGAGAGCACGAGGGTACGAGCAACTGGGGAGGGTCTGTGGGGAGGGAGGGGAGGGCTCAGTGGAGGCCCCGCCCACCCGAGACCCAGGCGTCCTGCCCCCAGAGCCCCCACACTCACAGATCACAGAGAGGCGCAGGGAGACGCTAGGGGAGCCCAGCGGATTCTGAGCTCGGCAGATGATCTCCCCTTCGTCCTCCTCCTGAACCCGGGCCAGGTCCAGGACCCCGGGGTCCGAGGTCTGCAAGGGGCTCAGGGGGCCGCTCCTCCGGGTCCAGCTCAGCGTGGCGGGAGGGTTGCTGTCGGCGAGACAGACAAGGCGCAGGGACTGACCCTCCAGGACAGGGAGGGACGTGTCGTTCCTGAAGTTTTCCGGGACTGGGGGGAAGAGGAAAAGAGGCAGGAATGACGCGGAGCTGAGGATACAGGGACCCTCTTTCACGCCAGTCTTCCGGACACCCTGGCTCTCTGTGTGGCTCTCTGTCCCTCCTCTATACCTGTCCCGTTTGCTTGGAACGCCATCACTCTCAGGTTCTCTGGAGGGTCTGAAAAAGAGGCAAGGGTCTGGCTCAATGCGGGCAGGAGCTCGCCTGTGCGCAAAGCGAGTGACCCAGGGGCAGGGGAAGGAGGAGATTGAATCACCTACTGACCCCCAGGTACACACCGCACAAGGGATTCAGGCAGGTAGGAGGCCTGCTACCATTGCCCTGGGGACAGGTCCCCTCCCAGTTCTGAGTCCCACCCTCCTGGAAACCTGCCCCGCCCACACTCACACTGCACGGAGAGGTCCAGCGAGCGCTCCCGGGAACCCAGCCTGTTCTCCGCTCTGCAGGTGTAGCGCCCCGCCTCCCTGGGCCTTATCCGAGACAGCTCCAGATTCAGGACTCTGGGACCCGAAGAGGGGGACCAGGAGAGCGTCCTGTTGCCCTGGACCCAGCTCAGCGTGGCCGGGGGGTGACCGTCAGCCACACAGAACAGCTGCAGAAACTCGCCTTTCTGGACTTTCAGAGGAGAGTTTCCCTGGGGGACTGGGACTGGGGCTGGAGGGGGCATGAAGAGGATGAAGAGCAGGGTGCCAGTTCCTTAGCCCCCAAACCTTTCTGTTCCCCCAAACAGAGGGCTCAACCCCATTCAGATCCACCCACCCTCTGTACCTGATGCTTGGCCTCTGGAAATTCTGATGACAACGTCCTTCGGGGCGTCTGCAACAAGAGTGTGACCCGCTTTAGGAGGGATGTCTTCCCCACAGTCAGAGCACCCAGGACAGAAGGTGTGACTGTCCCTGGTCCTGCCTGGGACCATGCAGCCAGCACCATGGGGACAGCCATGCCCAGAGGACCAGGCTGCTTCCCAGGACCCACTTTTCTCCCCGGGGACTCTCCCGAGCCCTGGCCTGCTGGCTGCCATGACAATTTCTCACCTCCCTGTATTCCTAGCTTGTCCCCATACCCCAAAGTCCTGCCCCCAACTCACAGGCCACCTTGAGCTGGACAGTCCTCTCGGCACTCACACCATTGCTGGAGAAATCCACTCGACAGGTGAGCTCAGTGTCGTGGTCCTGGGGTCTCCGTGTGAGGGTAAGCTCAGAGAAGAAAAGGGTGCTTCGTGGTCTAATTTCTTGATGGTAGAGGGCTGCCCCTGTCCAGGAGAAATTGGGGGCTGGACAGCCCTCAAAGTCCCCAGGAAACACACAAAGCACTTTCACAAGTTGTTCCGACTCCAGGGTCTCAGGGATGTAGACATCGGGCTTCTGTGTCAGGTCTGGGGGGAAAAGAGGAATTCTAGCCCCAGACCCTTATCCTGTCCCCACAGTCCCTCCCCAGTCCATCCTGGCTCAAGCCAGCATCATACTTGTCACATTCAAGGACAGCGTGGATTTCAAGTAACTAAATTTCACACTATCTCCTCTCTCCACCCGAAAGAAGTATGTGGCTGTGTCTTCCTTATGAGCATTTATGATCACCAGTGAGCAGCTCCCCGTCTGGGGGTTCCCAAGAAACTGGAACTGGCCTCCTCTCTTGGGTTTTACTTCTTTGTCTGGGTTGTTTGTGACCACCAGTACAGTCTTTCTCCGGAACCAGTAGCCATGAACAGGATCAGAGTCAATCCAACCTTGCTGTGGGTAGGAGAAGTTACAGGGTATGGAGATGCAAAGCCCCTCCTGTACCGTCACCGATTCCTGCACCTGCAGCTTGTATCCCTTATCCTGAGCCTGGGACCTTTGCCGAGACCAAGACCCAGTGTCAGCTCCTGCCTGAGGCCACCGGCTTCCAACATACTCGGTCCTCCACAGCAGCAGCAGCAACACCAACATTTCTGCAGTTAGAGGAACTGGACCTAGCGCTGTCTGGTTCTGGGTCAGTCTGTGTATCTGGGAAGGAAGTGCAACCGGAAGCCCCATCGGGGAAGAGCAGACACTGTCCACAGGAGAGGAAGCTTAGCAGCTCTAGGTTCCTGGAAGATTGTCTGCAGTTTCCTCCTTCATCTTCTAAAATGAGGGCAATGGGTCACAAAGGTACAGAACATTACTAGAGTAGCAAAGGGCTCTGGGCCAGGCCAGGCCTTAGGGGAGGGAGCCCCAGGAGTAGGGCTTACATGGAAGATTGTTGTCTTCATTTCCTAAACGTCCCTGAGGGGCACAAACAGTGTGCATTTGACTGCTAACCTAAGAGTTGGTGCATCAAACCCGTCCAGAGGTGCCGTGGAAGAAATGCCTGGTGTTCTGCTTCCATAAGATTACAGCCATGACAACCTACGGAACACAGTTCTACTTGGACACACACTGGGGTCACCCGGAGCAGCAAGTGACTCAAAGGCAAAGGGTTTGGGTTTTTGTTTTCCAAAAGTGTCACAAAGTGGGTGACTTAAAACAAAAATTTACTGTCTCAGATCATGTCAACATGATTGGACCAGGTTTGGCAGTTGAAAAGTAATTATCCCCCTTGATGACATCTAATATAATGTAATAAACTCAGTTATGAACAGCCAATCGATTAAAGGGAAGCTTCCTTTGGGGTGTGGCCTGCTTCCAATATATAGGACAATCCGGCAAAACATGTTTGCTCTCTGCTCACAGTGGACTGGATCTTGCATCTAGCTTGTCCTCCAACCTCTGGTTCCTTGGACTTAAGCCAATGGCCTATTCTACTACCTGGCAATCCTGGAAGTCATCAATAGCTTGCCTTTTTACCTGCCAGACCTGCTTGCCTGCCTGCCTTCTAACCTGCCCATCTTGGTTTACCTGACCCAGACTTGGGACTCTCCCACCTCTACAACCATGTGAGCCATTTCCTTGATATAAACTTCTCTTTACATATGTATACTTAAGTCTCACTGATTTTACTTCACTGAAGAACCCAGCCTAAGAGAGATCTGAAGGCTAGAAATCTGAAACGAATTAAGGTATTAGCAGGGCTGCCTAGCTTTTTCTCTAGCAAAATTGATCCTCCTTGGTCACTTCTAGATAATGATTGCTGTTGTTTTTAGATGCCTTCAAGTCAATTCCAACTCATGAACACGGCCTGGTCCTGTACCATCCTCACAAACCTTGTACTTGAGGCCATTACTGCTGCCACTGGGCCAATCCACTTCATTGGGGTGGTTTTCCTATTTTTTGCTGACCTTCCACTTTACCAAGCAGGATGCCCTCTTTCAGAGACTAGTCTCCCTTGAGAATACATGTAAACATTGTTGAATTGGCAGATATTTTATTGTGTTTGTATATTTTTACCACAGTAAACAACAACAAAAAAAAGTTGAAATGGCAAATGTTTTCTTATACATAATCTTGTCATAATGAAAAAAAAAAAATGGGGGGATGAAACACAAGGACCATTTGAAAAATGATCCCAGTCAAGAATTGTCTAAGGAGACATGTTGGTGGTTGTTCTGCAGAGCTGTTTCCGGCTCATAACCACCATATAGAACAGAGTAGAACTGCCCCAAAGGGTGTTGTTTTTTTTACTTTTAATTTAAAACAATTTTTTTTATTGTGAACTGAGTGGTAGTTTACATAGGAGAACATTAGCTTTACACCGCTGTTTCATTGCAATGATTACAATCTCCCCCATACATCATCATTCAACAATATTTGCTTCCATTCCCTCTGTTTTCCTTTTTTTTTGAGGGGGGGATGGGAAGATGTACACAAACACACTCAAGAATATACAAGAATTCAAACAACCAAAGGACACATTGTGCAAGTCTGCCTCCTGGCCACCAACTCTTAGTCCCTCTCTTTCCATGAATCTAGAGTCCTCAGCTGCTCCCTCTCTTCATGCCCCCATCTTTGCCTCCATCTCTGGGGTCGTTGCTTCTCTGGATAAGGTCTTGCATTCTGCTTGTGCTCTTCTCCCTTGATGATCCTAGGGGCCTCTGTTTCTGGACTGTAAGATTAACTACTCCCCCGTTTTTGTACAAAACTTCTTTCTTTACAATCATGGCAGTCGCAGTTAGTCATGATAACAATTATTCACTATTGAATTGTAAGAATCTTATTCCCATCTCTTTTACCAGACCTATAAAGACAAGATGAAAACTATTCAGTTGGGTCTCTATCTTCCCCCGCACACTCTTAAAATAAACTCCCTCTTAAAACCTTGTAAGCCAGTCACTTTGTGCCTTTATCGCCCCCTCATTTTAGGTGGCCAGTGTCTAAGTTGCCCATCCCTATCTACCCTGTATACAGAGGGGATAGCATTGATACTTGATGTGAAGAACCCTTCGTTCCCTCTCTGTTGGAGCTACTGCATCCATGAGTATAGGTCAAGTTCATCTAACTGTAGCAATTTACCCTTGTTTCCTTTATCAAAAATTGTTTATATCTTCTTCTGGTTGAGTTTTGATCATCAAGCCATCGAGGCTAAGTCAAATGGGTACCATCTGCAAATTTGGGTGTTCTTGTGCATCTCCCCTCACTTCGTATCAGCTGGATGCTTCACTCTCAGCTCTAGCCCTCCATGGCTCAGTCCTTGTCCAAGGGCTCAGGAGTCCCCAGGTCTCACCACACTTTGGACCAACCAGCCCTTCCTCTACTCTCTCTCATCTCCATGTCAGTGGGAGTCAATGGAATGTGGTTGAACTCAGCCCATTTCTTCGTGGCTACCTTTCCCCCTTTTCTACTCACCAGTAGACTAATGTGGTCACCAGCTAGTTTTACATGCCTGTTCATGTGCTCTCTTTGAATGCTCGTTTTGGAGGGGGGTTACAAAGGGGTTTGGGGTATGTTTGGTCTATATTCTTTACAAGAACACATCACCAGGTCTTTTCTCCCATGAAGCCACAGAGTAGGTTCAAACCACCAACCTTTTGGTTAGCAGCTCAGTGCTTAAACATTGTGCCAACAAGGGTCCTACTTGTTCCCTAATGCAGCTGTAACAGAAATACCACAAGGGAGTGGCATTAAGGAACAAAAATTATTTTCACACGGCTTAGGACAGAAGTTGAAACTCAGGGCACCGGCTCTGGGGGAAGGCTTTCTTTTCTCTCTGGGCTCCAGGGGAGGGTCCTTCTCTCTTTTCATCTCTGTTCCTCTGTGCCTTGGTGATGTTCACAGACCTAACTTCCCCCAGCTCTGCTTCCTGAAGCTGTGCCTAATCTGTTCTTTTCATATCTTAAAATGATTGGTTTAAGACACACCCTATTATGCTGATATGGGCTCATTAATATGAAAACGAAATCCTATTGTCAAATGGGATCCCATCCACAAGTAAAACTAAAGCTGCCATAGAGTCAATCTGGACTCATAACAACCCTGTAGACAGAGCAGAACTGTCCCATAGTGTTTCCAAGGCTGTCGATCTTTACGGAAGCAGACTGCCACATCTTTCTCCTACACAGTGGCTGGGTTTGAACTGCCAACCTTTTGCTTAGCAACTGAGCACTTTAGCCATTGCTTCCCAGGGTTTCTTATCCATGGGGTTAGGATTGACAATAAGTGTTGGGCGGAGGGTTGTGCACACTATTCAATCCGTAATAAGGCTTGATAGATATGGAATGAATGAATGAGACCAGGAACCTCCCCCACAAGACCCACACTGGACAGAGCTCTCTACATGGCACTGAGGGGAACTCTCACTGCCTGGCATTTCCCGTGACTTCTGCACACTGGATCCCATGGGTCTTCCCAAAGACACTGGGGACTGGCCCAGGAACCTCACACTTAGGTCTAGCTGACCCCAAGTTCTTGACTCTCTGCCCAATTTCTCTCTCCCATTCCCTCAAGTTGGTCCAGGTGCACTAAAAGGTTAACTCAGCAGACTTGAGGAGTTCAAATCCTGCACATGCCAAAGAAAGGACTGGCCTTTGACCAACTTCTGGGACCTAACCTCCAAATCCTTGAAATATCCTACCTAACTAAACCAGTTGCTGATGAGTCCACTTCCATTCATGAGCACTCTATGCGTGTACTAGTAGGACTGTGCTCCATGGGGTTTCCTTGTCTTTATTTTGTTGTTATTGAGACTAGAACAGCAGAAGAAATACCAAGTCAACGTTTCTACATGTACAATTCAGTGCCCCTCGTGACATTCTTCAGTTGCGTGACCATTCTCACCCTCCTTTTCTGAGTTGTTCCTCCCCAACTAACATGAACTCACTGCCCCCTAAATTTCCTGTCAAATCTTTTGAGTTTTCTGTTGGAGAGAGCCCTTAAAAGAGCAAAATGCTCAAAGCAGACATTTTTCACTAGTTAAATGAGACTATTGTTTGGTTTTAAGAAGACTTCAGGAGATATTTTTGGCTTAAGGTTTAAAGATGATCTCAGGGCAGTATTTTCAGGGATTCATTCAGCCTCCATGGCTCCACAAAGTCTAGATTCCATGAGGATGTTAAATTCTAGTCTACATTCCCCCTCCCTTGTGATCAAGAGTCTGATGTATCTGTAGAGTTTTCATTGATTGACTGTGGAAGTGATTATTCCAGGGAACTTCTGGGAACACACAAATTACCAGCCTTTTGGTAAGGAGCCAACACTCAACCATTTGTGTTACCCAGAAGCCCCATCCCTAATTTGGGGGACACATTGCCCCTTCCCTGGATCTGTTGACTCTACAGACCAGTCCTCAGCATTCTTGGTGTGTTCCCCTGTGGGCCTGCGGGATCTGCCTTCAACAGACCCAGATCCAGCTCTCCTCTGCCTCAGAGAACTACTGACTAGGGAATCTCTGAGTTTCTTACAAAATCCTGAAAAGGAAGTGAGATGCAAATAACATGAGAAAGTGTCACTTCCTTTTTTTTTTTTAAAGTTTTTATTGTGAATTGAATGAAAGTTAACAGGCAGATCATCAGCTTTACATTCAACAAATCATACATCTTGTTTCATTACAATGATAATAATTCCCTCCATGTACCATCAGTTAACAGTATTTCTCTCTATTCATTGTAGCTTTTTTTTTTTTTTTT